GTGCAACTCGTGAGACGGCGGTCATAAAACACACGCTTAAAAAGTGCTGGTTCGATAAGTCTTATCGAGGTGGCGCTTTTTCTTCTGTAAGGGAGCAATCCCTCCGACGATTAAGCGACGACGCTATTCCCCGAACTGACGTTGTCTTTACGGCCCGACTTCTCGACAAGCGTTAAGATCGCGCCTTGCAAGGGTAGTTAACTGTGGTCGATAACAGATTTGTGGACGTTGGCGTGGAAACTGGTAATGACCATCTCGGGGTGCGTCATTTTGTCCTGCTGCCAATTGAAGCCAGCCGGAAATATAAGGACGTGTGTAATTAGCTGGCTTGACGTGCAACAAAACTCGGTCCATGTCGTTCTGTGTTTTCGTCTCGTCCCTATTTACAACTACACTCCAAAAAAAGCCCGTGCGTCTACTTTCCCGCACAACACTCGGGGAGCCAATCTCCGCAACTTACTGAGACAGATCAGCGAATGACGGTCCGAAACGTATGTTTAGACCAAAAAACGCAGTCTGAGTTGCGACATTAACTGCTGTGGAAAACGTCATAACTCAGACTGCGTTTTTTGGTCTAAGCATATGTTTCGGCATCTTCATTAGCTGAGCTGTCTCCGTAAGCTACGGTGATTGGCTCTCCCAGTGTTGTGCGGGAAAGTAGACGCACGGGCTTTTTTGTAGAGCGTATGCGCAAAGAAAGGTCGTATGAATCGTGTCAGTGAGCATTGTCATCTTGTTGACGCTTTTGTTTGACCAGTTCTTGGTGCAAGGGGGGAAAGAGGGTCGTTTGACGTTTCCTCAGAGGACGGTTTGACCTGGCCATGTCTCTTGACAGATGGGTCAGCCATCAGGAATTGCCCAAAACATACCGGTTTCCGTTAGCACGCTGAAGGAAAAGCGGAGGTGGAATGAACACTGACGAAGCTGTCACTAATTTGCACTCTCCTATTTCTGTCTGGGCACCCTCAAGATTTAACGGGAACGGGACGTCCCCCGACACGCACGCACGCACATAAGGGAAGAAAGTAGAAGGGGGAGCAGTGATGAGGGGAACGAACGACTGGCGATTACAAAGCTCGATACGGCGCCAGTGAAAATGACAGCAGACGACGGACGGCAGACGGACTCCCCCACCCCTGTCTCACGTTCTCTCCCTTCTCGCCGGGCCTCCGGAAGAAAACAAATCAACAGAATGGCGCGCCACGCTGCACCGCGCATGCGTACTTCTACAGGTTTGGTCGTCGTCGCCTCGCGCATGCGCGTCGGGGATTACAATGTCTAGAGAGCGTGATGGGAAGAGTGGAGCTCGTTCAAGGAGAGCCGAAAACGTGGGCGAAGATATTTTTTGTTTATTTATTTATTAGAACTCTGGATTGAGGGGGGAGGCAGCAGCAGCAGCAGACGACGGCGGCACAGCGGCGAGGCTAACGGAGGAGAGAAAGAAGGCCGATGAAGGAGTGGGAGCGTTCGTGTGGCGCCGAAACTCCCGGCGCCAGACCTTGCTCGTACATCACTGGTGGCGGCGGCGGCGGCGTCGTCTGCTGCTTCCTGAGGTTGCCGCCGCCGCTTTGCGGTCGCTCGACCGCTCGTCTGCTAATCATAGAAAATCGGCGCCCCCGCTGTCCCTTGGACTTGCCGGACTTCGGGCATTGTTCCGTGTCCTCGATTCCTCTTTTCTTCTTGCTTCCTTTTAAAATTTGACCACCTCCTTACGTAGCCCCGATCACTTCCTTCTGGTGAAGATGTCTTTACTTGCTACGATTATGAGTTGTGTGCATCGAATTACTGTCATTTGATTTTTTTTGAATACTTTTAGTGCATATTCCTTATTTTAAATAAAAATAATTCGTGTTGCAGTTAAATTTTTCTCCTTTTTTTTTGGGGGGGGGAGGGGGGGGGGGTTGTACAAAAGCGAAGCCTCTATTGTCGCGATGGAGATGGGGAATGAAAGCGATATACAATTTGTGCATTAAATATGCTATCGCTACTGGTGTCGGCTGTTTGAGCTAGAGTGCCTTCATACACAGGCACCCTAGTTTGAGCCTCCATTTTGTCTCAGCGTCTACCAGGACGGATCAATCACTTTTGCTTTGAACTGCCGCGATAAAAAAGAACCCCGACGTTCTTGGTGATGCTGCAAAATTATGAAACTGTCTCGTATCGTACTCATATACCATTAGTGAATCGGGTGAAACTAAGACAGAAAACGCGACGAATGCAAATCGTACAATACTGAATGCTTCGTAATGGACAGACAGGGAACGGGCAAATACCTTGCAGGGGAAAAAACTCTATCCCGTTAACACGATTGAAGTCTGGTAGCTCTCGAAGGAAAGCGTTCGCGAATTACATTACGTTTTGAATTTAATGCGTAATTGTGCTCTATTAGTTATAATTATAACGAAATACTTTTGGATCTAGTTGTAATTGTAATTAAATTACATTTCAGAAGGATTTTAACCAAGTACATAATGCATTCTCCGCGGTCAGGCGAGAAATGAACAAATGCATCCCCGCCCAAATGCAAAAAAAAAAAAAAAAAAAAAAAAAAAAAAAGGTTTTGTATTGCATGAAGTTTATTTTAGAAAATGGTCCATCGAATTGGTGGAACAATTTGTGTCTCACATGACGTATATTTTTCCTCTAAATTTAGCCGGGAGACTGAATGGTTCTAAGGTCACGTGGCGTCGATTTCGCCACTAAATTGAGCGGGAAAACCTGATTAATGTCTCTACTCTGTCTCACTAAATCCGTGCAGTACAGCCGAAGCTAAGGGGAGAGGGCGAATGCCAACCTGTTCAAGATGAGAGAAATAAGAAACGGGAGACAAAGGGCTGGTATTCCCCCGTTCCTCCTTTCCCTCCTCTTGGACAACTCGGGTCGCACTCTCTCCCCTGTAGCTTTGGCTGTACTGCACGGTTTAAGTGAGAGCAAGTCGTGAATTTTTTCGCTAAATTTAGCGGGTAACTCAATTGGTCTACAAGTCTCGTGACGTCGATTTCCCGCTAAATTTGGCGGGGAAATTGAATGATGTTTTGACCCCAGGACGTTCATTTTCCCGCTATATTTGGCGGGGAAAACTTGGTTGACATATAGGTAGGTCCCGTGCCGTCAATTTCCCCAAGGTGTGAATTGACGTGTATATATCCCGTGACTTCAGGTCACGCGCCATCAGTTTTTCTGCTAAATTTAGCTGAGAAACTGAATTCGTGTATACATGGTATTCGGGCCACTTCCGGTTCGGGTTTTGTTTGCACGCTTGTAAAGGGCAACGTCACCGCCATGTTTCGTGTGTCCTGCAATGAAATCTCTATCTTTTGTTATGTTTTCCGCGTCCACTGGCTTCTTGGAAGTGTTGTTATTATGCTTTTCGATTGACAACTTTGCCGTGGCAGATCTCCGCGAAATAAAAGAGGCAACGAGCCGCGGCTGTCGAGCGCGAACAGTCTCTGTCATGTGGGCGTGGATATCACGCTATGTTTTGAAATCACTGAATTTTGAAATCTTAATTTTAATTTCAAAATTAACGCTTAATTTTGAGATCACAGATGCACATATCCGACTCTTCGGGATAGCGAGGATAGTAGATCGAACGATATCACACTTGAATTATTATACAATTGATTAATGATCGAAATATAAATTTGTATTCGCCGAAATAAAACTTCGTTTTAGCCTGAACGCAGGGTTTCATAACACAGACAGTTTAATACATAAAAATCGTTGTTGTTGTTGCTGTTTTATCTTAGAGTAGAATCACGTGCTGGCGTTAATTTTCGTGTGCATGCTAGATTGTGAACAAACGGTTTATGTTAGTCCTGAACAAACTCCAGCCAGAAACAATGCAAAAAAAAAAAAAAAAAAGAAACGTAAACTTTGGAAGTTTGTCAACTAGTATGTGTCAGTAGAGGACTTCAGAATGGGAGGGATCTTTTCGCGTTAAACTGAACCTGGGGTTTCGTTCCACGTCATTTTCAGACAAATAAATTTCGAAGTTCGAAATTAAGGAGCCAATTTGTTTTTCGGCTTGCAATTAAGCGTTTGTTTGTGGCACGATCAATTCAAGACGTGAAACAGAAACCACTGGTACCAAACCATCCTTTCGATTTTATTGCTTGCCCAATTAATATAATGCTTGAACTATAGCCCAATACCCGAATGCAGCACACATGAATATATCTAGCCATAAAATACACGGAATCAAAACATAATCCTGTCTGTGGCATTCGGCAAAAATGCCGGCGTTGAAGGTACACTTTGCAGTGCTGTAAGAAAGAAAACAAAATGATGAAACATGTTATTTTTAATGTCTTTTATGATCAAACAGAAGAGTATGGGGAGAACTATCAATATACATTTCTGGAAAAGCGAAGATGTCTTCTTTTTTTAATGGTCCCTCGAATTCTTTTTTAACTTGGTACTTCAGAAAACAATTTGGAGCGACATCTAAATTTAATTTTCTCTGATAAAGCAACGAATTATATATCATTCGAAAGAACTTTTTAATAAGAACATATCACACATTTTAATGTTACAGCTATTCCATATCTTCATAAAATGGCTCATGGAATCTGGCGACAAAACGTCAAAGGTGCCAGGTTTGCACATTTTTCACGCACACAATTAATATAACCTCTAGTGCTGTGCATATTTCAATCGATAGTTTCCAGGATTTATTATAAGTGCAAAGTATTTTAGATTTCTGATATTTATAGTCTGCGTAGTAGATGTCACTAAACATGACATAGACGAAAACTTTCCGTTGTGGCGCACTCGAGCATTTTTTTTTTTTCTCTTTAAATATTAATAATGCGTTTCCTACACATCTTAAAAAAGTAACAAATGAAAGAAACTGTGTGCGTGTGTGTGTCCGTGTCCGCACTCGCGTGCATGGCTTGATCTGAACAGAGCCGGCAGTGTGCTTCTTGCTGCTCCCGTAAAGTCGCTAAAGGAGCGCCGTGGACATTTGTTCACCCGAACGATTGTGTGGAAGTTCCAAAATGCAGCGGTTTGGCGGATTTTCTCCTCGCCGCGTCGCTATCAAGGGGGTCTTTTGTTTGTGTTGGTCCTCGTGTTACTCTGCGGCCGACGGTTGTTTTTGGCAGGCGAGTGTGGAACCCGACACCGCCGATTATCGCCGCCTGCGCGCCTGGCCTTCGTTCTGGGTTCGGTTTGAACGCGCTGGCAGTCACGCCATTCCGCGGTCTCTGGTTCCCGCTTTGAAACTGCTCTTTTTTTCTTTCTTTCTTGCCGCGCGGACATTTTTTGGGTTGCTGGAATATCGCGAATCTGCGGCGAGGTTCGAGGTGGACCAGGTTCGACTTTCGCGAACATTTCACGCGAAGTTCAGAGGAGTTCGACCGAAGTGCGACTGTTGTGCGCATGCGCGTGTCAATAGACCCTTGCTGCGCAGGGTTGCCAGGTGTTTGAACTCCAACCCACCAAACGTCTACGAGATATAGCCCAAAAATAGCCAAATGTCGATCCAGAAAAATAGCCCAAAAACAGCCCCCCCCCCCCCCCCCCAAAAAAAAAAAGAAACGTATAATTTGAAACGTTTATTTTGAGCAGAAAAGACACATAATACATTTTTATCCATCAAATGCCCCAGAAATGGCGTCCCTTGCACGTTCGGCGAACTTCCTGAAACGCTCGTACAAGCGCATGACAACATACCTTCCACTATATTGGGACGTTTGCAAGTCCGGTCTCAGGGCGCCGCCATCTTTCTCCGTGGGGTGCGCTCTTGGGCGCGGCCATAATCCGATTACGACGCCTTAGCAAGGCTTCGTTATCGGGTTATGGCTCGTCCAAGCGCACCCCACGGAGAAAGATGGCGGCGCCCTGAGACCGGACTTGCAAACGTCCATGTGACCAGAATGACGTCACGGGAAAACTATGCAGAATTCAGACAACCTAAAGAATGCGCACAACAGGTGCTGTAAAGGCCGCAAAGAATCGCGCCTTCACTTGTTGAGATGGAGGAATAACAGCACTTGCTTGCATGGCGCACAAAAAGAAGACGAATGTGTTTGCTGTCGCAAACTTATCAGGGTTAAGGGACTGAAGCGCCAAATGTTCACGTAACTTACCCTAAAAATACATTCGAACCTATAAACCCAAGTGCTTTCAGGCATTTTGGTTCCAGCACAGGTCAGAAATCGCCCAATGCACAGGTCAGAAATAGCCCAATGCACAGGTTAGAAATAGCCCAATACTAGCCAAATAGCCAACTACCATGTTTTTCCCGCCAACTGCAAATAAGACTAGCCCAATTTGGCGAACTTCCTGAAACGCAACCCTGTTGCTGCGTCGATTATCCGAGGCCTCCATAATTTGGGCACGAGCGCTGCGTCAGCGCTCGGCGTGAACTCGGATCCAATCACATGCTGCGCGCAGTAAACGCTTTCCAAACATGGCGGCCACCAGTGTTGCTCGATGAGCTTTTGAAAAGGGTTTATTGAGAACGAGCTGGCGCCGCCTTGCGGAGGAGGGGCACTTATAGAACGTATTCTTTTTCACATTCACGAACCAAATGAATCATTCGTCGTTCGTAAATGTTTGCTTTCGTGATGCCTAAGTGTTGGCAGAGTCCGTATTAGTAAATATTTTCTACAATTTAAATTGAGCGTTTCAGCGAAGGCTTTCAAAAATCCCTTAAAATTAAGTAATTGAAAAAAAAAAAAAAAAAAAACTTGCCGGAACAAGTTTCCAGTTTCAACGGTCGTCTGTTATTGAAAAAAATACTAATTAAGTAAATAATTAAATAAAATTTACTAATAAACCTTTTAATTAGTGAAAATTAGCATATGGTTCCAATTAGAAACTTGCTAAGCATAATCGAAACGACTAATTTTATAAACATACTGCAGAGGTGGCATCTTGCGGCGTTCCGAAAAAACGCTCAATTTTGACGCATTTTTAGGACGCGCCCGCGGTCCTGCTCCCCAGTGACCAATTGACACGCAACACGCGTGCACCATCCTTCCCTCCATCGTACGTGGGAGGCGAGGTGGTACCTTCCCGCCTCGGCTACTGGGAATCAGGGCCGCGGGCACGAAGATGCGCTCCGAAAGTAGACCGAAACCTAGAAATTAGCCAAAATTTAACGACAAAACAGTTTTTATTATTACGGTAGGTATATAAAATTAACGTTAGAATTATGTGGTACATTGAGGACGCCGGCTGTTGATACAGGGAAGTGTGTGTCAAGAGTTTTTGAAATCGAGGCTTTTAAAAACCTGACAGAACGAGCGGGGAACCTGACGCAGCGCTTTTAAAATGGGGTATGTTGTCCTAGAAAGAAACGGTGAAGCATATATATGACGTGTCCCTATCATATGGCTGACTGTTGCTTTGACGATAATACTTATTTCGATTCCGAGACTGTCCTACCGGAAACCTTCTGATGGCCTCCTTTTTACCGAGCGATAAAGATCTGTACTTTTATTGTTTGTACTTTTTCATGTTTCATGTGTCTCTCTTCTCGCTCCCATAAGGGCCACGCCACGTTTCCGCGGTGCCAGTGTCGATTCACTATACCGGCAAAATCAGATTCCAGTCGGGGAAATTCGCCACCCTATTTTTCGAAATCTGGAATTTTTGAGCCTCAATATCTGGTTGAATTTTCGAGCCTTCTGGGTCCTGGTTAGTGAACTTCAGACAGCACCTTGTGACATCTGGGGAAGAAAGCCCCGTTAGCCCAAGCAGCTGAGGCTGGCCAGTGCTGCACTTCAAGGGGTCAGCGCTTGGTGGCAGAAGTCGCTGCTCCATTGAAGGTGAGCTGCCACAAATCTAAGAGGCCAGATCATGAAAAATAGCTTACATAACTGCAAACAGTTTGGCTGACGTTTCTGTGATGATATGGCACGTCAGCTGGCGGAAGGCGATGTTTTTTTGTTTTTTTTTTATATAATACACATTTTAGACGCGATTGATTTTTTTTTTTGTATATATCAAATGATGTAAAACTATTACGTGCAGACGTACAGTGCATAAAGTTTACTTTTTTTTTTTTTATGTGACATTGCAACGAGCACAGTGACATTCACGCTCCGGTGGTCCGTTGCGCTTTTCCCTAGCTTCGTGTCGTTGAGCACGTAGATTTGTGCTTGTATGCGCAAAAACTGATTTGGTTATGTTGAATATTTCAGGTTTTTAAGAAATCTAGTCTGAAATCAAATGCTTGTTCTTTCTAAGCAGTTTCTTTTTTTTTTTCTTTTTTTTTTAGTGTTGATTTTTGTCTTTTGGAGAATGAGAAGAAACTTCGATGAGAGTCTTGTATCGCAACCGACATCCGATCTGCCAATGGTGGGCGAAATCGCTCCTTTACGGAGGATTGACATCTTGCTGTGTGGATTTCCATGGCATCCGTTCCACAAGAATTCGATCGGGAACCCCGCATTCTTTGCCAGAGAGCTGGATACGAACATTTCGACGAGACACACACACGCCTCTTGAAACCTCGTCCTTGGTGATATTGTCACAAATATTAAACAGAAACGCAAACATTTTTTTTTTTTTTTTTGCGTTTGTGTCTGTTGGACAATGACGGTGTCCAGGGGACACTGACGTCACGACGTGGCACTGAGCTCACGTGGCACCAGGACTTGGGCGTGATACTAAATGTCAGCTTAATTAAGCGAATCATTTTTCTCCGCTAAATTTATTGGAGAAATTTCTTTGCCAAGTTTAGCGGGAACATTGTGGCCTCATGTGACATGACATCACGACGTAAGCACAGATTCCCCGCTAAATTTGGCTGGCCACGGCGTTCACGTAACACACCCGAGATCCTTTGCAAGATGAAAAGGAATGACCGATTGATTGATTAAACGCTCGTCTACCGGTAAGCGTGATCACTCGCTCGAGCGGTTGCTTGGCTGGTCCCCGAGTGCTCTTGACCGGATGAACCAAGATCCCCCCCCCCCCCCCCCCCCCCCCCCCCCCCCGAGCGCTTTCTTTTGTCCTCCGGGGAGGTTCCTCGACCGCGTCGTTCACAAAGGAAAGTGAACTTCTCGGAGTTCGGCGGCTCGGTCGACGTCCGCGCTCTCGGCGCCGACTGGTCGCTCTCTTCGTGCGGCGGCGGCAGCAGCGACAAGCAGCGAGCCGGAGAATGCGGCTTCCCCTCGCGGACACAGAGGGAGAGCCTAGATTTCGGAGAGGGAGCAACTCAAACCATAGAGACCGTTTGCCATTGAATGGCGGACGCTTCCTGGGCAGATTGGTAGCAAGCGCGCACGCGTTGCATAGCCACGTGACGGGAAAGAAAGCCTTGCAGACAGTCCTCGCAGCTTCTAGCACAAACTTGGCCCATAAACCACGTGACCCCGATGGAGCAGTTGGACACACTCTGCAATCTCGGCACGCTGGGAGCCCCCTCTCCAACCGGAGATTCCGGTCCTCGTCGACGCCGCTCGCGGTCGTCGTTGACGTCCGCGACGCCCGGGCGTCTCGCCGCCGTTGCACTATCGTCGCTTGACGGCGCTAGACGGAGGCTTATCGTGCCTGCCGGCGCCAGAAAACTTCTTTTTGCTGGGGGGGATGCCTGGGATCTCGCCCTCCCCGCTTCTCTGGCGGCCGTCAAGACAACCGGCTCTTTCGAGACTCTCTTTTTTGCTCTCTTTTCGGCGTGGCACGTTTATCCTGCTCTCAGAGGGGAAAAAAAAAAAAAAAAAAGAAGTTTACATTTGTGACGTTATTAAAAAATCGTGACATGCTCTGCTACGTTTGCTTGCTTGCGCCTGTGTACTTTCGCATATGTGTTGAAGTCGTCTCGAAATCATAGTCTACTTGGATTAGTTTGATCATCGTTTGTGAGCTAAGCATTTTAAACAAAAGGGCAAAAACCAGGGAAGAAGTCACCGATGTTTCTGCGTTTCCCTTCTGTTTGTGTGCTGTTGCTTTTCGTGTACCCCGTCATTGAAATTGGAAGTATTTTATCCACGAGTTCGCGGTTGCCGTTAAGTCCGAAGCAGTCGCTCGCTTTGCTCGCTGCTCGGCAGTATCGGATACAACAGTGGGCAAATAATTGCGTCTAACTCTTTGTTAGCTGTTTATACTTAGTGGACTTGCACTCAAAGGGGAGGGGTCCAGTTATATTAAATTACCTCGATAGCTTGTATTGAACACTTATTTACACACGGATGCACTCACTTGATCGGATGAGGTTTTAGCGAACGCCGACGTTTCACCGAATGACACTTAAGCGAATAGTCGGCCGCCGCTAAGCGGCGTGATTAAAGTGGTGGATGAAGAAAGAATAAAATAATTAAAACAGGGACAACACAACCACATCTTTCAACTAGCAACAGACGAGTAAACTTTCAACAGCGAGCAGCCGACTATTCGCGACTCCAACTAACTATAGGTGGCGCCACTCATTTTCCAAGATGGCGGGTTTAGTGAGGGTCAGAGATGCGTGCCGCTGTTGAGCCTGTCTACTGTGCTGGCTTCACTGAGC